GCTGATGTGTTTCTGACCCAGTTGCCACTCTTCCTGCTGCCAAATTGCTGCCAACTCCCCCTCACCACTGAATTGCTACCAGCATCCAGGATTTGTGGGTCAGATGCTACCCGCAGGTTGTAGGTTGCCAGCCCCTAGTATACACACTAAAATTTCCATGGAGCACCCTGGAGTGAGTACCTTCAAGCACCCTGTTGAGGTCCAAATGGGCTTCCTCCTTGCCCAGAAGGAGTATAACCACCTCCATGTGGCAGTTCCATGTGGAACAGGCTAATATGCACTGCTGAATGAGTGTTAGCTTGCCCTAATTGTCTTGCAGATGTGGCTACATGGCTTCTCATTTAGGAGGCGGCTCACCCAGAGCATCACAATATGCTTGAGGTTGTTGACCTTGGGGTTGCTCAACTTGCTATGTAAATGTAACCAGAATCTGGTGTTATCGCTTCTTGGCCTCTTGAAGACTCAGATCAAATGTACTGGATCCTGAAGACCTGGGGTGACAGGTTTGGGAGTCTGTCTAGCTGAACTTAAGAATTTTAGCTTATTTTTTGAACTCCCTGCAGGCTTACAGCTTTGTTAATATCTTTCAGCGCATTTGCCATATTAGACTGCATCACCCCTCTTGTGTAATATGGAGGGAGTCTAAGACTTCACAGTCTGTGCCCGAATAGGAGAGTCATTAAAGATCATCAAGAGGTAAATAACCTTTTCCTAGTCAGACAATGGAGACTATCAGACAAACACTGTTGATTTGCTGAATGGCTCCCAACTGTTTTAAATAACTCAGAGGACAGACATAGCTACAGCTGGTGGAAGATCAGAAGTAGTCCAGGAGAAGAGCAGGAAGAGAATAGATTGAATATTATTACTAGATGTTAAGAGTTATGAATCCAAAAAGATGACAAAGCCAGTAGGGAAATACAGATCACCCGAGCGAGGGACTAACATAAGGGGATGGGGGTGAGGTGGGGAATGCAGCTAGGTTACAGAAAATACAAAGTTAGCCAACTAAGCCAGAATCCAAACCAGTCGCCCCAGATCTTCAGGATTGCCCATGGCCATAAATCCATCCTTCCTCCTTAGGCAGACCCCTTCTTTCAAAAAAGGATGGGATGGAGGCAGTCTGCACACAAAATAGGTGTCTTTGTTTGCCCCTTCGCTTTACTGAGAGGACTAAGATGATGCCTGACCCAGTTACCATCCCCCAAGCCCTATGGATGCCTGTACATCTGCAGGACACCTGCTCCAGCGTGGTCTAATTCAGCCTCCCCATGTTTCAAAATGGTGGTGGGGGTACTTTAAGTAAAGCTTATCAAATGAGCTTTAGTTAAAGTGCTCCTGCCACCATTTTGAAGCACGGGACACTGAATATACCCTGGAGCACGTCTAAAGATGACTTATGAGCCTGTTCATAGAGCAAAACTGTTCCACTGCAGTGCCCTTGGCCAAAACTCAAAAGCTTCTGCTGAAGCTCTGTAGAACTGGGATGCAGGTTAAATTTAGCTGACTAGTGCAGGGCTGTGGAGGGACCCTGAGATTGGCATAACCTTCTATGGCATGAGGCAGGTGCAGGACAGAGATTCATTTGGAACTAGTACGGGGCTACCTGGTTTACTGAGTTAAACCCTGCCTTGCTCTATGTGTGCAAGCCTCTGAATCTATGGGGGAGCTCAGTCCACAGTAGCAAGGAATGCTGAAAGTTAGGACCAAGGAATAGCTCAAGTTTTTGTTCATGTTCTTTAATGATAGCTCAGGCAATAGCCAGGCTTAAGTGATCACTATACAAGCATGGATTTCCTGCATGCATCCCACACAGGTTTCACCCAGACTGCCCCAGTTAATAGAGTAATAAACATAAGCACACTGCAGGAGTTCTTTGGCCACCTCATGAGTCCCAGGTGCTAAGTAAAAAGCAGTTACCTTCAGCATTAGGAATGGGTCTCTGCTTCAAGAAGCATGGCAATAACTACTTACTGATGCATGCCATTTTAAGGGCTTTAATTAAGACTTTAAAAAGCCATTGCAGCAGCAAACCAGAAAATAAAAAAACAGTGAAGCAGTGAACATGCGGCCCTGGAAAAAGGAGCTATAAATTGCTCAAGTAGGTGGGACCCAGCTAGAAAGTCATCCAGGTGACTTTACTACCAGAGAGAGAAATCATATTCTCCAGCAGTTACACCAGCATTATTGGCCAGGAAAGTACCTTCCTCACCCTGAGAGAATCCTTTCTGTCTTGGTGTAAGGCAGGGGCAGGCCAGATCCAGCCTGCCAGGCCATTCTATCTGGCCTGTGGGGCCCCTAAAAAATTTGGAAAATTTATATTTACCTGTTCCTGGCTGCCTGTCAAAGATGACAGGAGACACAGGGGCAGTGGGAGCCAGCAGGACCCAGGAGCAAGGCAGGCCCAGCCCCACTCCACCTTCAGCCCCCCTCCCACCCCCACCCCTCCAACTGGAAGCCTCTGCCTGCCATGGCTTTCACTGCTGCCATACCCACCCACTGTCCGCTCCAGCACCACGTGGCCCCTGCCTGCATCACCGGACTGTGGGAGCAAGGGGCCAGGAGTGGGAGGGTGTGTGTGTGTCTGTGTGTGTCCATGCAATGAGGGAGGGGGAGAGAGAAGCCCTCCACTCCCCTGCAATATACAAGAGTAAGACTTCATTTTAAACTATTGTACAGTCACTTTTATGTATACTACACAAACACACATAAATCAGGACAAAAATATTTTTTAAATCAAATTAATGTTGTAGATATTCGATTTTTAGACTATAGTTTGGTATTATTCTGGTTCTGAGATGGCAAAACCCCTTGCTGAAAGGAGTACTTCTGGGGGCAAGGGGAGGGTCTTCTGGTGGCAAAGGTCAGAAGTTAGAGGGTGGGACTTCCCAAGATGGTGACCAGGGGGTGGGGCACCTGTCAAGGGGCAGGGCTACCCATGTGGCCCTCAACAGTTTGCCAAAACTCGGTAAGTGGCCCTCCCACCAAAATAATTGCCCGCCCCTGCGTAGCAGGAACTGAACTAATGTAGCTGATGTTAACATAGAATGTAATAATGGTGAAATGTAACCATGTTAGTCTTGTCCTGTAAGCAACTTGAAAACTCCATTTTGTATCCTTCTGCTTGACATAAGTGAATGAACTCTGCATAGCCTTTATGTATGAGTGTGTGTAAAAGGGTTAATGGTGAGAGAATGGCATAGAGATGGGAGAAGAAGATGTAACTGTTTATGCAAGCAACAAGGCACCAAATGTAAGTTACCAGTCAGTAAACTAATTAATGAATGGCTGAAGAATCCCTTTTGAGGCCAAGAACGAGAGAGATAACGAGGAAGAAGAATGCACACATCCTGCCAGACGGACAGCAAAAACCCCAAAGCTGAGATACCAACTTTGACAACCAAACTGACCTCGGGCTGAGATAAGATGTAGACGAATGAAAGAGCAACTGCAAAAACAGAAATTGGGTATGGAAAACCCCAATGCTGAACAAAGACTTGAAATCCCTATAAAACTGAGATGCAGACAAGCCAAGATGGGGAATCTGCTCTCTGCAACCTCATGGAGCACAGGCATGCATGCCTGTATACCCCCGCTCATATCCTCAATAAGCCTGGACCTGGCCATCCAGTGCTAATATTGAGTAACATCTGCTGGTAACGATAACATCTTACTGGAGTGGTTTTGTCTGTATGTCTGTCTATGTCAGTTTGTAATATGTGTGTGTCTGTGTGTATGATACATAATATATATGACGATTTGTGTGTGCCTATATGAGTGGTGTGTCCGAACCTCTGTGTCTAATTCATGTAATCAATAAATGTGGCATTTTGCCTTACCCCGCTTTATAAGGTCTCACTCATGATTTGAGCAATTGGCAATTTGTGTAACATTTTTGGTAAAGAATGCATGTGGGGGTGAATAAGCTTCTATATTGCTGTTATTAATCAGTTTTATGTTATCTGTATAGTAAGTCTCGTCTGTGTGTTTGTTCGTCTGTCTATCTGAAGGTGTGCACACTGCCTGGTGGTAGTAGTGCCAGGTACAGTGGTCTCGGGTTAGACTGACCACACTAGAGAAATAGAAGCTCACTTTGGGTTATGGACTGCCTGTAAAGGAGCCCACTGAGTTAATTTGAATTTTGTCTTTGAACTTGGATTAATTTAGAAAGCCCATTTGTGGGCTGTGAATGATTAGAAGCTCATTTGTGGGATGTGGACTGTCTGTGCAGTTCGGACTGCCTATAGAGAGGTCCATTGCTTTGGTTTGGATTTTGTTTTTTTGAACTTGGTGATATTGGAAAGTCGAACTTTTGTCATGTTTTACGGACTGGCATAATAGTTTTAAGAAATAATAGACGGTGACTAACTCTAAGCAGTAAGAACAATACAGGAGACGGAAGTTAGAATGTTTAAAAGAAAGACAGTAAGGGGTGAGGCAGATATAAAAGATGTCAAAAATCCGCTGCCTATGTATCTGCAGGATGTGAATCTGTTGAAGCAAGTGCTGCAACGATTTGGGCATAGCCCTTGGACTGAACAGGCAGTAGCAGATGCCTGCACTGTTACTGATTTGAAAGAAAAATTTGGAAAATATGTTGAATTGTATGGTAAGCCTCCACATTCCCTGAGAAAAGGAGCTGCAGTGATTTGGCTATTAAGGGAGGCTTCTAAAAATCTTTTCCTTCACCTGACAAATAGTCAGGAAGAGGTGGCTCTGTTAAATAAACAACTTGCTCAAGTGTCATGGGATTTGGAAAGTTTAAGGGTAATTGCAGCAGGGGCACAAACTCGTATAGAATCTTTGTGAGATGCCCACGTTCTCCACCAAAAATGTTACACAAATTGCCAATTGCTCAAATCATGAGTGAGACCTTATAACGGGAGATAAGAGATCACATGTGGCATAGCATCCTGCATGAAGGATCTGCAGCCTGGGCTGTATTTTTCCCTGTGTTAAACAAAAGTGTTTTGGCTAAGATCGACTCAGCCTTTTGGATGAGATCAGCCTGGCAGGGGCAACACAATGATTGTAAAGATAGTTTCCCCAAGGTGAGGCCTGTCCCTTGCATTCCAGGCAGGCTGATTCCTGTGAAGTTCTCCAAATGCAGGAAACTCAACTGCACAGTTTTGTGGTAATGGGGGACTGGTTTTTCACTTTTCCTAGGCCTTGCTCCTCACCCCTTTGGCTAGGAGCAAGTGAAACTAATGGGTATCTGAACCCCAGGGTTTCTAGGCCCTAGCCTTACACATAGGATGCCTGCCACAAATTTGGGGAGTATCTGAAGACCCAGACTGACTGGGAAAGGAAGAGACTTGCCTGGTGGTAGAGCCACACAGATTTGAATGATTGAGCTCTGCTTAGTCGAAATTTGGAACTTGACTATTGTGCTTTGCTCAATAGAATTCACAAGTAATTTGGCCCTTGAAACAAAACTAAAAATAGATATATTAAACAAAAGCAATTTGTTACTGGACTTTGCCATCTGCATCTAGATGCTTTTGTTATTGTTAAATTAAACAAATGAATAGTTTCCTTCCTCCTTCCAAAAAGGAAGCTCAGGGGAAAAACTCCAAATAAGAAACTGTGGGTGTATTCAGTCTAGAACTTAAACCTTGTAAAATCCTGTTTTCCTCAAACTTGAAGCCAATAAAATATTTCTGTGACTTTTCTTCTACATTCCACCAAATAACAGGCTTGCTCTGGTATTTTCAAGGGAAAAATTGCTTCACTGTGGTAGTATATGAGAACTAGTGTGAATCTGAATTAAGAACATAAGAAGTGCTGTGCTGGGTTAATTCATCTAGCCCAGCATTCTGTTTTGAGAGTGGCAGAAATGGATGCTATGGAGGGAGAGCATTGAATTGGATATATCTAGAGTGATCTATCCCCTATTCCAGCGGTTCCCAATCTGTGGTACGGGTACCACCAGTGGTACTCAGATAACCTGTCAGTGGTACACGTTAACAGATTTTATTATAATTACTTTATATGACAACAGTTTGCTGGTAGTACTTAAAGTTAAATGGAAAAAAATGCTGGTGGTACTTAAGGTTGTATCATTTTAAATTGGTGGTGCACAATCTGTCAGAGTTTGGGAACTGCTGCCCTATTCAGTACTCTCTCTGGCATCCACCATTATCATTTAAAGATGGCGGAGGAAACATTTCCAACCATTCTGTTCAAATTCTCTATAGACCAGGGTTGTCCTGTTCCTGGGAGGCCATGGGCCACAAGCCTTCTGGTCACACTCTGTGCAGAACACGTCCTGCACATTCACCCTCTCTCCCCACTGCACTCACTGTGCATCACTGCTGTGCTGTCCTGCCCTACTTCCAAGGGTGAGAAAAAGACATGGAAGCAGGAGGAGGGAGAGAAAGAGCACAGAGACCCTGGTGACAGCATCAGGAGATTGATGGGGGAAGGAGGGACAAGACCAGGAGCCTCAGGTTGGGGGTCACATATTGGTTGGCATCCAGCTGGACAGCCCTGCTATAAACAACTAGCAGAGCAGGACATTCTCTGTGTCCACTTTGAGTAAAGTGCAGAGTAAGCAAACATAACCGATACAAAGAAGAAACTGCTGTTTACAACTACATCAGCAGTCAGTGATCTAAGGTAGTTTCTCAACCTTTTAAGTAGCAAGTACCCCCTAACTTATTTTAATAAGTACCCCAACACTCAATTTTCCAGGGGATTTTATATTTACAGACTAATGCGTGCCATATGTTGGAAGAAGGGCTGTGTATATAAGGTTGTGATATGACAGATGTCTGATGTGGTGTGGGTAGGGTTGCCACCTTTTACACCAAGGGTGCACAACTCAAGTATGTACCTGGGCTAGAGGTGATGTTGGGCAAAGCTAGGAGGGCTGAAACCAATGCCACGCAAAGTGCAGCACAACAAATTATTACTGGGGAATTTAAAGTGCTGCGTAATGTGCGTTGCACCAAATTTTTTGCAACAGTTTTGAGAGGAGGAAGGGGCAAGAGAGAGAAGAAAAGAGGGCGAGAGAGAGAGTGTTGGGGTACCTGCATACCTCCTGCCTGCGTCTCACGTACCTCCAGGGGTACGTGTACCACAGGTTGAGAAAATATGATTGAAGGCACTGGTATTAACCTTTAAAAATGATTTAAGCTTAGTCTGTGTGATCAAGACTCTTGCCTACAAGATTTTTGTTGTATGTAAACCTGGTTCAAGGAAGGCTTTAGCCAGGTGTGGCTTTCAAACGAATTATCCATGTGATGTTGAAAATCTCTTCTAAGAGAGATTCAAGCTGCCTGACCTCTTTAGGGGTCCTTCTTGGATGTAATTGGATACCAAATTGGAGTTTGATGTCTATCAGGATTCAGGTAGAAGGCAGGGCGAGGTGGCGCCTAATAGACTAACGCATTCAGAGGCATGAGCTTTTGTAAACTACAGATGCCAGGTCCCTTCATCAGAAGCCCTGAATGGATTTGCAGAGAATAAAGGAATAAAGTAATATAAATACAAAGCATAGGGAAAGGAGGAAGAAAGCATGAGGCACTGCAGAGAGAGATGAAGGTAGATTGAAGAGATCAAAAGGAAGAAAAAGCAGTTAACTCATTGAGGGACATGGGGGGTTATAAAAACTAGTACAGATAATGGGATAAGAACCCAGAGTCTGTTGAGAGCATGCTTAACACAATCCAGTCTATGGAAGACTTCTTTCCCTTCAATTTTGCATTCAAGTTGATTTTTAAAATCCTGTTGTTTTAAGAACAGTTACTTTGAGGACATGGATGGATGTCCAGGGAGGTTAAAACAGATGTCTGATGTGGTGTGGGTAGGGTTGCCACCTTTTACACCAAGGGTGCACAACTCAAGTATGTACCTGGGCTAGAGGTGATGTTGGGCAAAGCTAGGAGGGCTGAAACCAATGCCACGCAAAGTGCAGCACAACAAATTATTACTGGGGAATTTAAAGTGCTGCGTAATGTGCGTTGCACCAAATTTTTTGCAACAGTTTTGAGAGGAGGAAGGGGCAAGAGAGAGAAGAAAAGAGGGCGAGAGAGAGAGTGTTGGGGTACCTGCATACCTCCTGCCTGCGTCTCACGTACCTCCAGGGGTACGTGTACCACAGGTTGAGAAAATATGATTGAAGGCACTGGTATTAACCTTTAAAAATGATTTAAGCTTAGTCTGTGTGATCAAGACTCTTGCCTACAAGATTTTTGTTGTATGTAAACCTGGTTCAAGGAAGGCTTTAGCCAGGTGTGGCTTTCAAACGAATTATCCATGTGATGTTGAAAATCTCTTCTAAGAGAGATTCAAGCTGCCTGACCTCTTTAGGGGTCCTTCTTGGATGTAATTGGATACCAAATTGGAGTTTGATGTCTATCAGGATTCAGGTAGAAGGCAGGGCGAGGTGGCGCCTAATAGACTAACGCATTCAGAGGCATGAGCTTTTGTAAACTACAGATGCCAGGTCCCTTCATCAGAAGCCCTGAATGGATTTGCAGAGAATAAAGGAATAAAGTAATATAAATACAAAGCATAGGGAAAGGAGGAAGAAAGCATGAGGCACTGCAGAGAGAGATGAAGGTAGATTGAAGAGATCAAAAGGAAGAAAAAGCAGTTAACTCATTGAGGGACATGGGGGGTTATAAAAACTAGTACAGATAATGGGATAAGAACCCAGAGTCTGTTGAGAGCATGCTTAACACAATCCAGTCTATGGAAGACTTCTTTCCCTTCAATTTTGCATTCAAGTTGATTTTTAAAATCCTGTTGTTTTAAGAACAGTTACTTTGAGGACATGGATGGATGTCCAGGGAGGTTAAAGTGTTCTGCTGCAGGCTTGTGTGTCTTTCTGGAATTGATGTCAGATCGGTGTCCATTCATTCTTTCACGTAGGGATTGTCATTTCTCTCCAGTATTGAGCAGAGGGGTGCTGTAACCAAGTGATGGAACATCTAATGTTGGTAGAAGATCAGGTGAATGAATCCCAGGTTTTATAATCCACATTGTGTGGTCCAGTGATGCTGTAGTATGTTTTGATGAGGGGGCACAGCTGGCTTCTGGGTCTGGAGCAAGGCCTGGTGCTTTGTTGAGAATAAGAGGTAGGCTGTTGCTGGAAAGAGATACCTGGTTCAAATACCTAAGATGTGTATCCCTAATGTAGAGCTTGGCTGTAGATGATGTGTCTAGTGGCATGCTTGTGATGAAAGCTAGTGGCATGAAGGTAGCTGTAGCAGTCATTTGATTTCTGATATAACATGGTAGTGATGTGTTCATTGCAACATTTCACAGTGGTGTCCAAAAAATGTATATGTTGAGTGGGAGTATTCAAAAGTCAGTTTGGAGGGGTGGGAATTGCTAAAGTCCTGGTAGAATTTATCGAGGGATTTCTTCCTGTGTGCCCATATGATGAAGATGCCATCTGTGTACCTTAGATATACAAGGAGTATGGGAGGGCAGCTACAGAGAAAGCAGTCCCCAAGGTCTGGCATAAATATATGGATGGAGGGAGAGAGGGGCACATGTAAGACCATAACAGTCCTGTTCATTTGTATGTATAGATAGTCTCCAAATCTGAAATAGGTATGTGTGAGGACAATGTGGTAGAAACAGAAGCAGTGTCAATGTCAGAGATAATATTCCATATGGCTTGTAATCTATCCTCATGTGGTATGTTGGTGTACAGCGATGTGATATCCATGGTAGCTAATATGGTGGTAGATGGAAACTTGTCAGTAGAAGCTAGGAAATCTATGATGTCCTTCAAATAGCTGGCAGCTCCAATGGTGCACAGAAATATGAGTCAACGTAGCCAGACACTCCGTATGTAATAGTGCCAATAGCATAAATAATGTGGAGTCCCGGGTTGCCAGGTTTGTGGATTTGGGGTAATAAGTAAAAGGTGCCCGGCCTGGGATCCTGGGAGGTAGAAGTATCAATCCTTTCCTGTGTTTCAAGAGGTAGCATCTTTCAGAGCTTGTATAGGCCCATCAGCCTGACTTCTATCCCGGGGAAGATCTTAGAAAAGTTTATTAAAGAGGCCATCCTTAATGGACTGGCCGATGCCAACATCTTAAGGGATAGCCAGCACGGGTTTGTTGCGGGTAGGTCTTGCTTGACCAATCTCATTTCCTTCTACGACCAGGTGACCTATCACCTGGACAAGGGAGAAGAGATTGATGTCA